CAGTGGGATCTTCGTCGGGCGGCCTGCCCGCAGTTGCTGGCAATGCCCAAATTGCTTGAGGGGCTCGCGCTCGGTGCGCAGGCCTCCCGACGGTAGGCGTAGCAAACACCTTCGTGCCCAGCCTCGGGTTTATATGGCAGCTGGGGCACCGTTGCGTGGTAGTCGACTGCAGCGACGATCACCTCCGCTGCCACTCCTTCCCCGCCGCCTCCTTCTCCTCCTCCTCCTCCTCCTCCTCCTTCTCCTCCATCCCCGTCCCCGTCCTCCCCTTCCCTCCTCCCCCTCTCACCCACCTCGCCCCCACTCCCGCCCTCCCGCCACGTCCCACACCTTCCACCCCCGATGCGTCGTCCTCCACCTCCTTCTAACCCTCCGGCTTCCTCCTCCTCCTCCTCCCCTCCTGCTCCTCCTCCTACCTCGCTGCTCCTCCCTGCCCCTCTCCTCCTCCTCTCCCTTCCTCCTCCTCCTCCTCCTCCTGCTACCTCCCCCACCCTCCCCCTCCTCCTCCTCCTCCTCCTCCTCCTCCTCCTCCTCCTCGTCCTCCACCTCCTCCTCTTCCTCCTCCTCCTCCTCGTTCGTTCGTGGCACAAGGGCAGATGGCCGCAGGTCGCACCGGGGATGCGGCGAGGCAGAGTGGGATGGAGACGGCGGCGACGAGGGACCCCGAACCCCAGAGCCACACGGAAAGGGCGACCACAGAGCCCAGGCCCCCCCCCCCCCCAAGAGGAGGGACGCAGGGGGGGAAGAGAGAAGAAGAGGAGGCTTAGCTGCCTCGATACGCCCGTTCTGCTACGCAATACGTCCCGTGTTCAAGACGTCCGTGTCAATAAGTTGCGTGTTGGCTCCACGTACTGGGCCACGTTTTGGCGGATGTATCGCGTCGGACCTACGTGTTCAGCCTACGTGTTGAGCTCCGTATCAATACGCTACGTGTTGCGTGTTGCGTATCGGGGCAGCTAAGAGAGGAGGAGGGCCCGCAGGGTGGGAGCGTGGGCAAATGGCCCCGTGGACGAGAGGGAACGGGCGGAGCCCGGCGAGGCGACGAGGCATTTCAAGCCGAGTCCAGCACGCCAAACTCATCGGTGAGTGCAACATTACACGGCGCGCAATCGAAAGCTCACTCTGCGATCGCGGCGGGGCCCAGGATTCGTGTACCTCCCAGGAGCCAGCAAGGGATGGCAAGGGACAAACCCCAGCTCCTTTACACGCGTGACGAGCTTGGATATGACAAATGCCAGCAGTTCATACAAGAGAATCGGCTCCACAACGGAAGATCCCATCCCCCGCGTCACAGTGGCTGATTATGTTCCTGATGCACCCCGTCCCAGAGACTCCACGTAGTACTGTAAGCCGTCAGGGAACCTATTCTGGCATTTCTCTGCACAGAGCTTCGAAAGAAACTGTTGCCTGACAGTGCTGCTGCTCAGCTTCTCGGACGCACGCTTGTTTGAAGAGGTCAACGGCGGAATCTTGCAAGCAGGACCTTTTCTCGTCCAGATGCTTTATTGGCCCAGCGTTGTGGCAGCAGGCGTTGGAGAAGAGACGTCGCTGGCACTGATGCTTTCGTCATCCTCATACAGGTCGCTTCACTGTTCCAGTAGATCTAGGCATAGGCCAGGCACCAAATGATCGCTCTTCTCTCGACTTATATGTGCATGCCCATCCGTATCTTCTTGTCCGCCAGCCCTCCGCCCATCGCCCATGCTCAGCAAGGCCGAGCTTGCATTAAGCTTAGCCTCCAAGCGCGTCAGGGCGTCAACGATTTTTTGGAGTACCATCAAGCGGGCAGCCAACATCACTGCTTGCATGATGGACTCCTGGAACAACCGGACCAAAAAGCGGACGCAACCGAAAACACATGTAAGTAGTTCACTAAGAAAATCTGTGCCCTCTGTCAGCAACAGTTTGTGAGTGAAGTATGCGACGAAGGTAATTCAACTGCTGATTTATGTGAGCACGGAATGGATCAGAAATCACGCCTGCAC